CAGAAACCCGTAGCATCGCCGAGAGGGTCATGGGAGATCCAGAAGGTCCACCAGAACCTTCCTAAGGGACCATGGGCAGCTGGCAGGAACCCCCAGCATTGCCTAGAAGGTCATGGGAGGTCCAGAAGATTCTCCAGAACCTTTCTAAGGGACCATGAGGGGCTGGCAGGAACCCCTAGCATCACCTAGAAGGTCATGGGGAGTCCAGAAGATCCACCAGAACCTTCCTAAAGGACCATGAGGGGCTGGCAGGAACCCACAGCACCACACAGAAGGTCATGGGAGGTCCCGAAGAATCTCCAGAACCTTCCTAAGGGATCATGAGGGCCTGGCAGGAACCCCCAGCATCACCTAGAAGGTCATGGGAGGTCCAGAAGATCCACCAGAACCTCCCTAAGGGACCATGAGGGGCTGGCAGGAAACCCCAGCATCACCTAGAAGGTCTTGAGGGATCTCAAACCCCCTCAACGTCTTCCTGGGGTTAGAGAGACCCCCAGCATCTTCCTGGCAGGATCCCAGGGTCTGGAAGGACCCACCACCATCTCCTGAGGACCACGAGGGGGCAGGAGACCCCAGAGCATCCCAGGGTGTCCCGGGGGGTCCCGCTCACCTTCCACCACCTTGACGGGGTGCAGGTCCGAGGGGAGACGCGAGTTGATGTGGAAGATCTTCTGCGCGTTCCAGATCATGCGCAGCAGGTTGCAGGGCAGCACCACCTGGGGATGGGGGTCAGAAACCGGTCCCAAACACCCAAACAGGGGCCTGGAGCCCCCGAAACAGGGCTGTTGGGTGTCCCCAAGGGTGTCACCTTGCTGTCGCCGGTGGGGAAGATGACGCGCAGGACCTCGCGGTCCTCCCGCATCTTCTCGAACTCGCGCTCCAGCTCGTTCTGGATGTGCGCGTTGCTCAGGATGTCCTTGACCATCTCCTCCTGCAGCGTCCGCCGCAGCGCCCGCTCGTTGGTGTAGTCGAACTTGAACCTGCTCACGCGGGGAAGGGGCGTCAGGCGGGGGGCACCGGAGGGTGACACGGCCACCGGGTGACACCCCGGGGCGGGGTGACACCGTGACAATCCGTCCTGGAGCTTAGTCCTTGCTCTAGGGGAACACCTGATGGGTCTCCCCCAGATTACACCCTGACCTGGTGTGTTGCCATGTCAACATCTCTCCCATAGGTGACACCTTGTTCTGGGGCAACACCTTGATGACCCTTCCTGGAGCTTAGTCCTTGCTCAAGGGCAACACCAGGCCAGTTCTCCCCCAGATTACACCCTGATTCAGGGTGTTGTCATGTGAACACCTCTCCTATAGGTGACACCCTGTTCTGGGGCAACACTGTGACAAGACTTCCTGGAGCTTAGTCCTTGCTCAGGGGCAACACCAGGCCAGTTCTCCCCCAGATTACACCCTGATTCAGGGTGTTGTCATGTGAACACCTCTCCTATAGGTGACACCCTGTTCTGGGGCAACACCGTGACAATCCTTCCTCGAGCTTAGTCCTGTCCCAGGGGCAACCCCTGATAGGTCTCCCTCAGATTACACCCTGATTCGGGGTGTTGCCAGGCCAACACCTCCCCTCCAGTTGACACCCCATTCTAGGGCAACACTGTGACAATCCCTCCCAGCGCTTACTCCTTGCCAAAGGGCAACACCGGGCCAGTTCTCCCCCAGATTACCCCCCGATTCGGGGTGTTGCCAGGCCAACACCTCCCTGCCAGGTGACAACCCCGCGCCGGCGCGTCACCCCGCTCACTTCTTCTCGAAGGCCTTGTTGGAGGGCTTGAGGGTGGCCAGGTTCTGGAACTCGACGCTCTCGCCCGCCAGCCCGTCCTCGCCGTAGCGCAGCTGCACCACCTGGTTGATGCTGTTGCGCACAGTCGCGTCGTACTTCACCATCACTGACTCCATGGACTTGATGAGGCGCCGCTGGATGTACCCTGCGAGGGCGACGGTCCCGCGTCACCCGTAACGTCCCAAAGGGGCTCCGGGGACGGGGGGAAGGGGCACAAGGGGCTCCATGGAGGTCCCCAGGGGGATCCAGAGGGATTTTGGAAACGCTTGGGAGGCTCCAGGGGTGGTTTGGGGGTCCCAGGAGGATCCAGGGAGGCTCCAGGAGCTCCAGAGAGGGTTGGGAGACCCTTGGAGGCTCCGCGGAGAGTCTGGGGGTCCCAAGGGAATCCAAGGAGGTATCTAGGAGCTCCAGAGGGATGGGAGACACTTGAGAGGCTCCAGAGAGGGTCTGGGGGTCTCAGGGAGGGTCTAGGAGTTCCCTAAGAGCCTCAGAGAGAGTCTGGGGATCCCTGGGAGGCTCCAGGGAGGCTCTGGAGGATCCCCAGGAGCTCCAGGGAGATTCTGGGGATCCCAGGGAGGCTCCAGAGGATCCCCAGGAGCTCCAGAGAGATTTGGGGGATCCTTGGGAGGCTCCAGGGAGGCTCTGGAGGATCCCCAGGAGCTCCAAAGAGATTCTGGGGCTCCCAAGGAGGCTCTGGAGGATCCCCAGGAGCTCCAAAGAGATTCTGGGGCTCCCAAGGAGGCTCTGGAGGATCCCCAGGAGCTCCAGGGAGATTCTGGGGATCCCAGGGAGGCTCCAGAGGATCCCCAGGAGCTCCAGAGAGATTCTGGGGATCCTTGGGAGGCTCCAGGGAGGCTCTAGGGATCCCAAGGAGGCTCTGGAGGATTCCCAGGAGCT